AGCAGTTTTGCAATACAGTTATTCGCAGACATGGTAGACTACGTAGCTTTCGCAATCAAGCTTTGAGACGTGAGCACGAAAAAAAGCAATTAGTAAACGCGATTTCAAACGAAAAATATGCATGTCTATGTTCCTTAATAAAATCGAAAATTCCATCATCAAGGAATTTATTCCGCTCAATAGAAATTTATGGCATAGAACGTCTAATATTCAGATATCACGCATACAGCATTCTTTGCTATTAAGTGCTATTCAAAGGCAATGCGCGTTTTCTGCCTTTACGAAGTAGTTTAGCGTTGAAACCCCAACTGTGTTTTGTAAAAACTTCCATTCTATTGCGGAAAATTTCTATTTCATATGTTAAATACTTTACAAGTATGTAACGTGTTCTATGTAATAACTTGATTATAAAATATGTTGCGTAGAAAAAAATTAAATTCAGGTAACCTTTTATCTCATTATTACAATTGCTTTTTATTTAAATTTAATCTCACCTAAATGCTTTCTTTTTTCTGTAATCGGATTATATGCTGAAATGGGTTTTATAAAATATATTTTCATTTTCATTCCTTTATTTCAGTTTCTTCCTTGAATATGATAAATACAACTTTATTTAAACAAAATCTATTTAACAATGAAAATAATAATAACATACTTTGTTTGGTATAGATTTTCGATTTTCTTTTCGGTTTGAAGATAATCGCAGCAATTTCTATTTGATGTATTTCGTTGTATCAGCAAAAGGAATAAATTCTAGAAACCGCTCGCGTCGAGATTCTTAATGGACTTTTGAAGAGCCCTGTTCATCATTTGAAAAGTATCGAAACGTGTTTTTTGCACTTTTCCACAAATTTCCATCTAAAGCTCAAGCTGTGCATTTAAGCAGCAAATTTCACTTCAGTGTCCTTCATTGCGTATAATTCTGTCCATTTCGTGAATATGCAAACAAAGTATTGTTAATAAAATTCATACGAATTCTACAAAAATTACGCATATGCTCAAAAAATATTCAAAATATTTTTGTGCTTGTTTAGTTATAAAAGGAATACTTTTTAAGCTCTGGTATACTTATTTACTCTCTTAAAATAATATAATTTTTTTCATAAGTGGTTTCTACATCTCCTTTTTATGTCCTTACAAAGGATGTACCGAAAACAAATTTTTTTTTCCGAGTCACTTCCGTAAACGTTCCTCCTAAACGTATACTTCAGGCGTAACTTTTCTTGTAATGAGATGGGGAATTTTATAAATTCTGCATTTTCACTTCACGACGAGAAAACGTACCCAAACTGTGCAACACTTTACAGTGTAAATGCGGAACAAGAAAGTACTTTTACTTCTATTTATTTATGTAATTTTATTTTGTTTCTAAAGACCACGAAAATTATAAATTGAGACATAATCAAGGTCAACGTGATTTCATTTCCAATTTTGAAATTTTCTTTTCTATAGAAATTTTATCATTTCCAATTTTGAAATTTTCTTTTCTATAGAAAATTTTAAAAAAGGTTAATTTTTTAAAATTTTAAAAAGGTCTAACAAATTTTAAATAGGTTAAAAATTTTAAAACGTTTTAAAAAAGGTTAGAAAATGTTATTCTCCAAATCAAATTTATTGCTAACAGATGATTAGAATTCTTCGCCTGAATTATAATTCTTCTTTACGGGATGCGTACGTTAATAGAGTTTTAAAACAAAACATGAAACGAAATTTTAATTTGTCTTTGCTTTTAACGTAAAGGACTCATTGTAAGGATGAAACGCAAACGATTATTTTATATCGCGGTTCGTAATCTATAGCACTGGAAACATCTCTTGTTAAGTACAATAATTCGGCAAACGGTTATAAATAATCTTTATTAAATATTATACCAAACATATGAATTAGATGCATTCAAAATTACTTCAGTCAGATACATTACTTCAGTTAAAATTACTTCAGTCAAGAACTAGAATAATAGTTCAAGTTTTTAGGAAGTGAATTTATTACTCTTAAATCACATATTTAAAAGGGTGGTGGATGATGATTCTCCACACTCAGGATTTGGCAACTGGGTCCCCTAAAAACCCCAGTCGCCCTTTAAAAGGGGGATTATATAAGGCCTTTGTGGTGTGGTGGTCTGCTCGCTGGGCGCGTATTCTAGAGGTCCGTGGTTCGATTCCCGGCAAGGACGTTGCTCATTTTTCATCACTCCTGCTTTAAAAGTAATCTAATATCTCTATAATGTGAGGTTTCGATTTGAAAAACAATTTACAGGTCGCATGTCATATCAAACGACAGTAACTCGATAATAGGTAATTTGCCAAGTCATGTGGTTGATAAATCAAAGATCTTGTAACACACGGTATGGCCAAACGTGCTGGACTGAGTTGAAATAACCGCTTCTAAATACCCTGGGAACTTACGAAAAACAAAGGCTTTAAAACGTAGAAAAACTGAATATAAACATTTCTATTAAACTCTGATTTTATGGATATATAAGTCCTTCTAAAATGTCTATACTAAGAACACAGTGGAAGTCAACTTTTTTTACATATTTCAGAAATGTGGAAGTTCTTCAGCACCGTGATCACCGTAGTGAGACGAAACTAATCGTAGAAATTAATATTAATTAAAAATAAATATGTTTTACTAACAAAAATAAATATAAATACAGAATTATATCACAATAAAGTTAATTTATGTAGATCGTAAAAGTTGCAACGTTCTAAAGATTTGTTTTGTTATTGCGAAAACGTTTATAAAAAAATGTTGCTAACCAAGCAAGAAAAATGCAAATTATTGTTTTTGTGCAGCTGAAATAAGTTGTGACACACAATATTCAGTGGGCATGAAATAATTTTCTTAATACCAACAATCTTAATACAAGATTTATTAATACAAGAGCAATTTTATCTGCATCGTTTCGTTAGCTTTTAATTTGAAGATAACAACTCGTATTCTTACAATTCAAAATAAAAATTTAGGAAATGACAAGTTTGTGCACGGACACAGGATATAGATGTAAAGTGTGGAACGTCATGGTTGTATACGGCGATAATGCGGACAGGAAACAGTTCACTTTGTGCAACATCAAGTGTTTCTAGCAGTCGTAAATTGATTCGTCTATTCATTTAGTGTTATCTGCTTCACTCAACCACGTTGCTGACCCCTCTAGTATAGTTTCGCTTTAGCTTTAATAAGAGAAACTTGGAATTTTATGACACAAATTTCCTGTATGTTTTGATACGATGAGAGTTGATCTAGTTTAAGTAATGAAGTGATAATGAGCACTTTAAAAGATGTCAATATTTTATTATGAGGTGTTGAGAATGCGATCTTATCTTGGTGCTAGTACAGAGAACCTGAAGAAAATGCTATTGAAAAATGGAGCGAAATTTCAGAGATCAGTCAATTTTTAAAAAGTGTAGCTATCGATGTCTCAATGTTTATGTTGTTATAAGATTTTATCATGATCACAAGGCTTTATTTGTGATGCAGTGGACAGCACAGAGGAAGAAGTACGTGAAAAATTGTCTGTGCCGTGAATGTCTATGGAATTGTGAAATGCTAGGATAAAAAAGAAAGACAGAAATTTCCTTGTCTAAGATCAATCTCAATTCAAACTGGCAGGAATTTCTCCATTCCTGAAATTTCTATTCTTCGGTATAATCGAAATACAAATTAAAAATGAATCTAAAACAACCCAATATTTCCTATTTTCAATGTTAACTTAATTGCTGCCTGGACGATGTAATGGAAGCGACGACTGACTGCTAATTCGAAACCAAAGCTATGGTTTTGACTTTTCTGTAATGCCTAGCTGTAGTTCTGCCGACTTCTTTTCCACTTCTTTGAAAGTGTAATATTGCCACCCTTGCAAGTATGCTTTGGGCAAACTTTGCGGTGATGAACGGCCTAAATGGTATATTACTTCATTTATTCCCATTTATTCCTGATGAATGTTTAACGATCACGGATCTGATGTGAATGCTTCTACATTCAGAAGCCATAGGTATAGACGCATAAGTCAAACCATTTGGTTAAAATTATATATGTTATCCTCATTTTTTTTTTATTTTAACATACTTCTCCAAAATTTCGAGCATTTTGAGAATATTTTTATGAGATATATTAGCCTCATTTTTATGTAATTTTAACATATCGTTTTCAGAATTTAGAGATTATTTTAAGAGAATTTTGTGTTAAAAGTTTTATTAGATATTCAGCAATTTCTAACTTTTGAAAAAGGAAACGTATGCGAAAACACAGTAATTTAGAGTTGCATAAGAATCTTTTTCTAAAATCAAATCAATCATTTTGAATGAATAACTCCACAATCTAAAAGTAAATTTCTTTAAATCTGCTAGATTACTCTGACTCCAATATATAATTTTCTCAGAAAATCAATTTTAGATTATGTTCTTGATATTATATATTTGTTCAACATATCATTATATTAGAAACGTCTTTCTGCACTGAAAGATATGAAATTGTAATTCATACTTTACCTTCGCGTATCCGAAAAATTTGGATGAATGTGATTTAAATTTCTATCGTAAAAAAAATTAACCAAAGAAATATTTCTCGATGAAAGTTAAATAAAATTATATAATAGTATTAAAAATGGATGTTTTAATTTTAGAAAGCAATTTTTCTCAGACAAAAAATAGGTCTTTAAAAGGTTTTAGAATTAAATTTAAAATTTGAATTGCATTATTTCCATATTCTTATATTTTAAATATTGGCTTTTTTACATTAAAACCCTTTTTGTTCATTTTAATACAGCACTTAAAAAATTTAACACTAATGAATTGTTTCAAAACGAAAAAGCAACTGTCCTCGCTTTATTGTGAATTGTAAAGGTAATATTGAAATTTAAATGTTCAGACATTGCTAAAGATGAGTAATAACTATCCATGGCTTAAGCTATAACCAAATAACTTCTGTGTAATTAACTTAATACGTAGCAGAGTTATTTAGATTAAGCAATCATTACTTGAAATGAAATTAAACACAAATTTTCATACATAATTTTCACAATGTTTCATTTCTGCATATCTTTGAAGCACATTTCAAACAGAAAAATACAAATAAATTTTGCCAAAGAAAACAGTAATGAAGGATTTCCAAAGCATAGTTAATTCATCAGTTTCTGTAAAACTTTTATATACGTAGAAAACGAACGTTCCTGTATTTTTTCATATTCAAAATTCTGAAAGAAAAAAATTTAAGAAAATTAATAAAGATTTAAGTTCAGAAATTAAAAGAAAAACATATTACCTAAAATATAATTTCGGTGTTTAAACTCGAATACCTTTAAATAAATAAAATTCGAATACCTTTAAATAAATAAATTCAGCAAAAACTTAGCCAAAGTTAATAAAATTTTAAACGTTTTGGAGTTCATGCATATTCTAAATTTTTCGAATATTTTACAATGTGATATCAATTTCTATTTAAATTCCACTACCTAATTATTCCACTCGATCTGCCATTTTCTAAATCTTCTCCTCAACAATGAATTAAAAATTAATATGTTTGAATACACAAAATCATGCTGGTTAATCCACTATTTAAATTTAAAATCTTGTGTATCTTTCTGTAATTAAACACCTATTCGGTGCTGGGAATAGTTAGAACTATTAGGAAATGCTTATTATCGATATTGAGAGATAATCATTATTTCTATATTAAGAAATAATTACTGTTATTATGGGCGTTTGCGTTGTATGAAATAGCCCCCCCCCCGAAAAAAAAGAGATAATTAAAATTTGATTTTGGCCGTTTTGCCGTTGACCGACAATAACCCGAATAGGAGAAAATATTAAAGACCAGGACAACAGTAGAAAGTACCATCTTATTCTTCATCCTAGCAAGGTGTTCGATGAGGAAAAAAAATCATCTTGATGGGCAAATAGTAAAGAAATTCACAGGTTAAGAAAAGAAATAATAACAGGAAGACGCTTCAAGACTTGCTACTGAAGCATCATCACACCCGATCGGCTCCAGACGTGTCTCAACTGCAGACCTTGATACTAGCGTATTCATTTCATAAGAGTAAAAGGGAAATTAACTCTCAAAACCGGTCTATTTGTATCCTTTTTAGCCAGTATTCGTTGCCACATCCAGACTGGAGATCAAACTGAAAAATGTGATGTCTTGCCTTTACACTTTCGGCAGTTACAGTACGTAGGAAGCGAGCTGAAAGGTTAAATGTTGGTGGACTATAAAATGGACGGAAAATACAAGCTTTTCATATAATCGTCTAACATCAAAATTCCGCATTTTATTACTATTATTGTTTTGATAAATTTTATTGTAATTTGAGCCTCCATTCTATTTTTACCACTGTGAGGGAAATATATGCATTTCTTTTATTATTATTGTTGTAGCTAAAATCATCAACATCATTGTCATCATCATCATCATCATCATCATGCTCTCTAACATACATAAAAGGTTTACCAATATTTGAGGGATTAAATATCTTTCATCCATTATATCTATCAAGCAGACGTTTTGACCTCAAAACGTTAATCATATAAAATAAGCTTTCATCCTAAAAGAAATTTGTGTTATGTTTTAGCAAAAATGTAAAATTACGTGTTATGTTTTAGAAAAGTATGCAGAATTTACAATTTTACGCATATCGTTTAAAACCTAAATTCCAATCAGTAAGTTTGTTCACCATCTTCAGGTAAGTCTTCAGTAAGTTCTTTAAGGAAATAAAATTGATTCTGTAGCAGGCAGATTAGTTCTTAAAAGTAATTTTACCTGGCTAAGTATATTACAACTACGATTTAAGGTTTCATGTAGAAAATGAATGACACTGCATGCAACATTTCGAATTTTAACACGTCTTGCGATGTTAATTTCAAGCATGTGCTTCTGTACTAATGCATTTCTGAAGTAAAACATATCTGTTATAAGTTACCATCTGAAAATTTTAAGCGCGTAGCTGGTTTCAACAGTATCTGTGTATGGTTTCTACAGTCCATTTTAACAACATCTAATTTAATTTTGATCTTACAGGAGGAACATGTTCTTTTTTCCATTTATGTGATCAATACGGTTATTGAAACTGATTTTCTTTTTCATCTTTTGTATCCAGATTGCATAAAAAAACTACTTTTTCTATATAGTATTTACTAAACGTTAGTGCATAACCAGAATTATCGTAGTTTAAACTATTACATTATTTCCTTCCTTTCTTAAGTTTAAAGTAAGATGTGTAATAAGCTATTCAATATATAGTATATTTAATCATTATAATGCTTCAAATCATCATTAGTACGAAATCATCGCATCCTTAGCGGTTGTTGTATACTATATCTGCTAACTTTGCATCATGTTTTTTATACAAAAATAAGATGGAAGAATTAATTTTTTTAAATATACTAGCCATATCCCATCAGTATATTTTTCTGTGATGCTTAATGTTTTTATTGCTGAAATTTCCTAAATAGTACATTTGATAGGGCTATAATTTTCTTTTCAGCTCTTATGTTAGCTTATCTTTACGTCCTCATTCCTTCGGCATCTCTTTGAAATGGGCTGTTTTGTTGATGTTTCATAATTTTGGCTTTTTTCAATAACATCATTCTCAGCTTAATCGGATTTATTAATTAGGCTCATAATGATTTGTGATAATAATAATTTTTATCCTTACCATAACCTGTCACGGATTAAAAATTTCTAATTTTGGTTATATTCTCCGCAATAGATTATTATTTCGCTAGCAACATATTTTACAACTAGTCAGCTTCCAAAGTGATGATTAATATAATGCGATACAATCTTATATAGTATTATAATACAATAGCTAGAAATGCGCAATTTTATTACCTTTTATGTTCCTCCCTCAGCCCCAAATTGTACTATTTTGTAAACCAAATCTTCTTTTACTAATATTTATAAAGACATCCACGTATGTAATCTGCGTAAAGTTAATGTCACGAAAAAATATTTGCTTAAGTTTTGAATTTCAACTAAATTTATTGTGATGATCTACCTAATTCTTAAGGGTCAAGTTCGGGATATAGTCGGTGTTAAGGTTAATTATAAACTGTGATTGGGCAGTAACTTATAAGATAAACTTAGTAAAATCCCTTAAAAACTTGTATGGCACTATTTGTAGTTTTACATACTTAACATGAAACAAAGCACAGAAAAATAATCGCCTAACGTGCAAAATGTTAAGCACCCAGCAGTTAAGCTCCTATTTCAAAATTAACGAGACACGTAGAAATAATACTTTTTAATTAATATTAAATTTTACTTATCGCGTTCTATTATACGCTGTCAGTGACAGCGGAACCAGAAGACTTTTAGCAATTTATTAAGGCAGAAAATATTCCACAGTGATTATAAGTTGCAGCTACCAGTACTTTCGGCCAACATTTTGACTTCTTGGATGAAAATTGATAGAGCTAAAGAAACAGGAAAATGCGATCTAAAATCGATTGTTAGCAAATTTACATAATTGTACAATTTAAAAATTTTACATTCTAGGAAGAGCAAAATTTGACAGCATTTAATGTAGTGACTCCGTCATTCACAGCAAAACGATGAAAAGATTATATTTTGCACATAAATAACAGAAATGCTGATGAAAATATCTTTCAAAGGAAATAAATGCAACCCATTAACACTTTTTCATTGCGACGTTCCACAGTAAAATGAATCAAGAAATACCTAATGAATTTCATTGTGTCGTCATGTTATTTATTTTACTGATGAATTTGTGATAAAAAAGTATATATGATTCCTTTATTCCCTTCAAATTGGTTTACATTTTTCTTAATTATTTTATCATTTATTTTATGGTTTGAATACGCAATTTAGTTACTTTATCTTTGTCTTCTAAATAAAGGAACCATTAAGATAAGTACTATCAAAGTCTACTGCTAATATCATAATTATTTTTAATTATTTACTACTTTTTTTCTTAACAGCAGGTTTTAGCATTAAAGCAAATGTATAAAACTCCTATATAGATGTATACATATATATGTTTAATAATGTATGTGTGTGTGTTCATACACTGAAATGTAAAGCTTGTTACTAAATAACCTGTCCAGAATTTATAACAATGTCCTTTGCTTGTTACGTTTGCTTATGCATATGTAAATTCACAGACAAGCGTAGAAGTTTTCAGAGGTTTCTCCATCCTATTAATAACAAGTCATCAGGATTTGAACGCGTATATAAAATTTCCATATATAAAATTTCAAGAGTTCCATATATAAAATTTCAAGAGTTCCATATATAAAATTTCCATATATAAAATTTCAAGAGTTTACGACAACTGCAAGAATTTCCACAAAATCTTAAAATTGATAGCAATAGAGTATGCATACAAGGTTCAGCATAAGCTGAAGAAAAAGTTCTTGTAATAAGCATCTAGCATTGTTTAAGAAAAGCTGAAGCTTTAATAAGCATTGCGCAACTACCCTTTCACGTAAGAAACTTCAAGAACTGCCATTAAGACGAAGTACCCCTAATAAAACGTGATTAATAACGTAAGGCAAAATAGTTTAAAATTTTAGTATGTCATTAATCCATAATATTATCACATCTCAATGTTTATATATGCATGTGCTTATAAGAAACCTCTTAAAGACATCAGATCCTGTTATAAAATGCCTTTTTTGCAAACATTCTTTTCGATGAAAGTAACTAAGAGGATTAGAGAAATAATAAATTAAGTTTATTACTTAATAAGTTACTTATTTAATTATTTAATAATACTCTTACTTACTATAGAGGAATTAGAATTCGTTCCAGTCCATCATCTCATTCTCTACACTTCAGCTACTGGTGGTAGATCAACAATAGGTTCTGTATCTTTACCAGGCACAGCCTGAACGGATGGTCAGTGCAGCTATTGCCATAGCTAGGATAAAACTCAAAGCACATCGTGGAAACTTCATTTTTTGACTGCAAGAAATAGATCCGTAGGAATATCTTGCTTCAGATCAGTCTTTTATATAAAACTGTAGTCTATATTGCAATGTGCATTATCATGGAAAAAAATATGAATATCAAGATCTAATCTAAAAGCTTTTGAATAAATTTTATGAAATATAGACATGAGTAGGCAAAGTTTTGCTTTAATAAGCTACATTTTCTGTTTTGAATAAATTTTATCATAAAAAAAGGAATTCCGCGACATATGATTTGATGAGTGCTTTTGTTTTAGTTTCAGTGACTTGCAACTTGGAACAAAAGATACAAACGATTACAGATAAAATTTTCCTAAGCTGGTTTAACGAAAATGAAATTCACTGAAAAGAAAATATTTCTAAAATCATTGATGAAAAATAACAAATTTTAAAATTTTTACTTTAGATAAATCTTATTTAAAGGTTTTACTTTAGATCGTAACCTATTGGCACAGTCTAAAAGATGCTAATACATTATTATTTGCTGATCTTCAGTTATGCTTGAAATTTTAGCAATTTTACTTTCGATTTAAGCCAAAACCACAAAATATAAGAAAGACAATCCATGAATCTTCCCTAAACAGAGTTCATGTTTTTAAATTACTAAATCCCAATTAATTGCTCTTAAAACTTTAAATAAAGAAGCATTTAAATAATATTAAATTACCAGATAATCATGAGTATCATGAAGAATTATGAATGTAATCCTTAAATCATGTTAATAAAATGTGTTTCCACTTCATAAATTTTAACAATGAAATGTACAACTAATTTAAAGAATGTTGTTTATCAAAATTATTCACAGAAAAAATTTAAAACCGAAAACAATTGTTATCACTACTATTATTTTCGTTACTGCTGTTTTTTGTTCTGAAGGAAGGAATACATAAAATCTGAAATAATAACAAGATGGGTATTATAATACATAATTTTAGTCCTGGCGAAACTATAATAGTTTCTGATATTTATGTATTTGAAACCTTAAGGATTGATGTATTTTGTTTCAAATTTAATCCTGGCACGCTGCATAAGAAAATATTTAAATTTTTTTAACAAAAAAAAATATTTTGCAATCCAATAATTATTCTTATATGATATTTAATGAAATACTCTTTGTGGTAAGTATAACTTATACGATTTACATAATAATCTAGCTACGCGTCTTTCTTTTGTGCTGAATTATATCCGCTTTATTTATAATTTTTTTTAAATCGCAAATCAAAATATTCATGAAGTAAACTGAATATATAAGAGCATATTCTGTTTTATTTTTATTTTCCACAATCATTTGAAAGTTTTTTTTCATTTACTTCCTGCTATGAGCATTTCTAAATAACTCAGCGTTATCAGCCACAAATCTCTACATATAATAAAAGGAAGAGTCTTTCCTTCGTGCTGCGCGTAAGCTAATAGACCCAGGGCTACAAAATTTGGCATATAGGTTAAAGTGACCACACGTCCCGATTTTGGCGGGATAGTCCCGCCTTTTGGAGGATTGTCCCGCGTCCTGACGATTTTTAAAAATGTCCCGCTTTTTAGAAAACATCTGCATTTCTTATTTTAAATCTACTGTAAAAGGATATTACCTATTATTTATTATTTATTATAGTAAATATAAAGAAATAAAAATACATAAATAAAAAATCACATAAGATGGATGCAGAGTAAACTAAATTAGGCGATTTAACGAGTTAGATTTACTTGGTGGTTCTGTCATTTTTGTTACGCCTCGTCAAGGAATATGTATTGTTAACGGAGGAACAGCTAGCATCAGCTGAAGGGCTATTTACTTTCCACACCATAAACCACAATCAAAGTTTCAGATCAATTGATTGTACGTCGGAAATGATCAAAACATTGTGCGACAAAAAATTTTCATGTGCAAGGACAAAAGTCGAAGCATTTATTTGTAATATTTTTTCACTATATTCGTTTTCACAATTGCAGAAAGAATTAGATAAATGCACATTTATATCCGCATATTATGATGGTTCTAAACACAAAGATTTAAAATTATTTCCCACAATTGTTAGACTTTTTGATCCAGAAACAGGAATTAAAATTATAATATTAGATTTTGTTTCATTGCCGGGTGAAACTTCATAAATAATTTTTGATTCAATAAGTACTATTTTAAATTGAGTAATTTGAAGAATAAAAGCATTGCCTATTATGAGGATAACACTAACGCAAATTTTGGTGGAAAAGCTAGAGAGAATAACGTTTTTACGAACACTTAACGAACGTTTGAAGCAAAAAATTTTCAAGTAGGTTGTGCAGCGCACATTCTACACAATACTATTCAAATAGCATCTGATTTATTTCCAGTTGATGTTGAAAATATTATTGCAAAAATTTATTTCGTATTTTTATATATATACTGTGCATGTGTTGAAAAGTTTGAAGGATTTTTGTGAAAAGCGCAGAAATAAAATATAAAAGAATTATTGGTTACAGCAAAACAAAATGGCTAGCTCTTTTACGAGCCTGTAGAAAATATTTTTAAAGTATACGAACCTATTAAAATCATACTTTTTTATCACAATGATAAAGTGTCCAAGAATATTGCAGCTGTTTTTTGAAAATGACACATCACAAATTTGGTTTCACGTTCATTCCACAACCAAGTTACATTATTTCACAATGTTGTGAAAATTATTGAAGGGGACAAATTTTCAATTACGAAAGTGTCAAATGAAATTAATAATTTAAAAACAAAATTGCGAGAAAGAATTGATAACGATTATGTTCCTTTAGTTATTCGAAAGGACATCACTAGGTTGGAAGAACAAGGTGCCATTAAACGACCTGATTTTCTGAAAGAAGTCAGAAATTTTTATAATAACTGCTTGGAATATCTTGAAGAACGGACAGTTCAATTCGAGGATATTAAAAATTTTCATTGGGTGACATTAAAAAAGAAGATTTTATGGGAATATGTGGAAAAATCTTTTTTAATATATTAGTAACCATTTTCCGAAAAATAATATTTGCGAAAATGATCTTTTTGATGAGGTGTCATTGGTAAAAAGATACATTACTGAAGAAAAAATTAAATGTTGGTTGTCTGCAAATGTGGAGACACACAAAAAATGGACGAAGTTATTCCTTCATTTTAAACAGAATAATATTCCCTATGAAAATATTTTGAAAATTGTAGAACCCGCGCTCTCCCTTCTAGGAACAAATAAAGAAACAGAACGTGTTTTTTCTAGTATCAATAAAATATATACTAATTCAAAAGTCAAGCAACAAAAATCAGCGTTATATTTTCAAATTTTCACAGGACTAGTTTCGATGGTTTTACCGAACCACCATCCTCAGCTGCGGAAGGGCAAATGAACGAGATATGATATAATGATCAGATAAGATAAGAAAGCCTGGACAGAAAATAAGCTAGTGGCGCCATCTGTTTGCGGTGCCGCCTTGGACGCTCATCAGGTTAGCAAAACTCTTGAAAGTCTCAAAACCTGTTATTTTAAAATAATGCTAAGATTTATTTTTAACTATCGCTAAGCACTTTGCAACTAGACCAACAATCCCAAATGTAAAATTTAATTTCACTCATGAAGAATTCAAAACAAGAAATTAAGATACAGTTATTTCTAAAAATACTTATGCGTCCTTAAACTTTAATAAAATACAACATAACGAAAAAGTTGAAAATTTCAAATTTTAATACATTAGCAAATTAATCAAAATTAATGTGTAATATGATGAAAGTCTCGATGAAAGTCTTATTTTTGCTTATAATAAGCAATATATTCTCTAAAGTGGGTTTTTGTTTGTAATCTTACAGAAGTTTTCAAGTGCATTGTATATTATCAGAAGAACTTATTAAAAGATACATTCATCAGAAAGTCTGTGATCTATATTGATACTAAACTTTTAATCTTAATCCTGCTGTTTTACTACGCAATTGGGTCTCTCATGCCAACAAACTGCAAGCTATCTCCACACCTTTATAGTATTTTTTCTCCTCCTTCATAACTTTATTGTCTGATTTAGCATTCCTACCTTCTATTGAGTAATTAATCCTTCCTCGATTCCCGCTGATTAGTGATAGCACAAAACGCTGCCCTTCTTTAAAATTTTGATTAATTTCCCATATCCAAATTTCATACATTTCGTATTTACTCTCTTATGTTTCTTCATTTTTAAGGTACAAAGCATGTGCTGTATGCCAGCATACAACTATGTTTAAATAATAAAGATATGTTATTTATTGTAGAGTCTGCCAGTTCATCACTGATATTTTTCGTATGCAGCTCCGTACGACCGTACGCGAATGGATTGTCTGCGTGAAGCTTCAGTAGTTTATCCGATGTGTAGCAAGAATTCGAGATAAATATTTTTAAAAAGTCATGTACCATAGCATTCCTTTTAAAGACAATAGCTATCAACTGATTTACATTAAAGAATTTTCTGCCTATAGCCTGAATTACAGAAATGCTTGTAACGTTGATAGAATGTCCAGGAGTGATATACAAAAACACCAGATGATCTATTAGCAATGTAACAATGACGATGCAATAAATTATGTAACATATGTAAATCTCGTGTTCTTTAATGACGCATATTCGTATATGTTTTTATCCTACTGTAAAATTTAATTGCAAAAATATTTATAACATTATTCAAATATAAAAAAATGATACATAAAAACACCAGATGATCAGTCAGCAATGTAACAATGACAAGACATATAAAGCATGTAAATTCCATGTCCTTAATTTCGCATATTCTGCGTATGTTTTCATCTTACTGTAAAATATAATGAAGATATAATTTACATATTTTACGCATGCAGTTCATTAAGTCGTTAATGGCGCATATTCCGTATATGATTTCATCTTACTGTAAAGCAATCATGAAGATTACATTTTTTTAACGTATCAGTTTCATTAATGATTAATATTTTGGTATTTCCCTACTTTGAAGGATAAGATTTTGTATTTGGCTTTTCTTTAAAATGAATAATATAAATAATGTAGTTTATGTTAATTTATATAAACCACTCAAATTTC